GCCGATCCTGGGTGCCCAGCCCGACCCCTCCTGCAGCCTCTCCCCACGCCAACTCCTTGGCTTCACGTGTGTGGAGGTGTCTGGCCTGAGCACAGAGCTCGTCCAGGAGCTGGCTGTGGCCTTGGGACAGAAGAATGTCAAGCTCTCCGCAGAGCAGGTCAGTCTCAGTTGGGCTGGGGCAGGTGGGCATGGCTGGGGCTGAGGAATTTACAGGCAGCTCTGCGGTGCCCACCTTGCTACCACCGTCCCCTGCCCCTGCTGCCATCTCTCCCCGGCTAGTTCTTCCCAGAGTTCCTCTGGCCACCCAAGCTGACCACTAGGGTGCCCGTCCCCATCAGGGGTCAGCTCCCCAGGAGCAAGTCTGAGATGTCCCTGTGTGCTGGGCCCCCTCCTGGAGCCCCGTGGGCAGCCCTCCAGGCTCTGCCCCAAGGGGGAATCTCTTGCGGGGAGTGGGTGAGACCTGGGGAAAGGGAGCCAGCGGCAGCCAGGCACAGGAGCCCACATCCCCTGGGGCAGTGCTGCAGGCAGCTGGAGATCCGCTCCCACAGATTCCCGTGGCCAGGGCAGGGGTGTGTTGTGGGTGGACCAGCCAGGCAACCCTGGCCCACCATGTGGGTGGCCGCCCGAAACACTCTGTGCTGGACGCCCTGCCCCTGCAGCTGCGCTGTCTGGCTCACCGGCTCTCTGAGCCCCCCGAGGACCTGGACGCCCTCCCGCTGGACCTGCTGCTATTCCTCAAGTAGGCCCCATCCCCTGGCCCCCGCCCTCCGGCTTCTGCCCCCAGCCCTCAGCCCCCACCCCCTTCCCCCTGCCTCGGACCCCAGGCCACAGCAGAGACGTGGAGGCCAGCCCAGCCGCCTCTCAGGGTGGGGACCGGTGTGATCAATGTGGCCTGTCCCCAGCACCCTCTCTCCACAGCCCAGACGCGTTCTCGGGGCCCCAGGCCTGCACCCACTTCTTCTCCCGCGTCGCGAAGGCCAACGTGGATCTGCTCCCGCGGGGGGCTCCTGAGAGACAGCGGCTGCTGCCCGCGGCTCTGGCCTGCTGGGTAGGAGCTGGGGCCAGTGCAGGGTGGAGAGGGCTCGGCAGTTTCAAAGGCGCTGAGGCCGGCATCTGTGCAGGGTGTGCGGGGGTCTCTGCTGAGCGAGGCTGATGTACAGGCTCTGGGAGGCCTGGCTTGTGACCTGCCTGGGCGCTTTGTGGCCGAGTCGGCAGAAGTGGTGCTACCCCGGCTGGTGCGCTGCCTGGGACCCCTGGACCAGGACCAGCAGGAAGCAGTCAGGGCAGCTCTGCAGAGAGGAGGACCCCCCTACGGGTAAGAGAAGGTGTCTGGCACCTCGAAGGCTTGCCTGGCGGTGTGGCATGAGCAGCCCGTGAGGACACCCACGGCCATGCCTCAAGGCCCAGGGTCGGTCATCCCCGCCACAACCCCTGTCAATGCCCCCAGCCAGGGGGTATGGCCTAGCCTGGCCATCTCCTCCCTCTCTGTCTGGGGCTGCATTTGGGGGTCCCTGAGCTGTGCCCCGTGTCTGCACAGCCCCCCGTCAACGTGGTCTATCTCCACCCTGGACGCTCTGCAGAGCCTGTTGCCTGTGCTGGGCCAGCCCGTCATCCACAGCGTCCCGCAGGTGAGACCCCGACCCCCAGCCCGTGGGGAGCCCGGCCACCCGAGGCTCAGCCTGGGCCCTGCTCGTCCTCAGGGCATCCTGGCCGCATGGCGGCAACGCTCCTCTCGGGACCCATCCTGGCGGCAGCCTGAACAGACCGTCCTCCGGCCGAGGTTCCGGCGGGACGTGGAGAGTGAGTGCCGTGCCCTGCGCAGTCTGGCACCAGGCTGGGCAGCATCCTTGGGGGTGGGCATCTGCAGTTTAGAGTCTCACCTACCCCTCCCTGGCTCTGCAGTACGTCCCATTATAACCACAGAGAGTGGACAGAATCCCCGTTTGCCAGTGGGTAAACTGAGGCACGGGGAGGGTCACAAATTGCCCAAGGTCTCTTCTCACAGCAGATGTGGGAGGAAGAAGGGGTCAAACGAACTCCGGCCCCTGACCCCTGTGCCCTGTGCCCTGCAGGGACAACCTGTCCCCCAGAGAAAGAGGTCCACGAGATAGACGAGAGCCTCATCTTCTACAAGAAGCGGGAGCTGGAAGCCTGCGTGGATGCAGCCCTGCTGGCCGCCCAGATGGACCGTGTGAACGCCATCCCCTTCACCTACGAGCAGCTGGACGTCCTAAAGCATAAACTGGATGAGGTAGTTCATGACTCAGGTTCCCGCCGGCCTGCTGCGTCCGAGCCGTCCCCAGACGCCTGGGAGTGACGTGGGCCCTCCTGGTCTCTCGGCCTGCAGCTCTACCCACAAGGCTACCCCGAGTCTGTGACCCGGCACCTGGGCCACCTCTTCCTCAAGATGAGCCCTGAGGACATTCGCAAATGGAACGTGACGTCCCTGGAGACCCTGAAGGCTCTGCTCAAAGTCAGCAAGGGGCATGAAATGAGTGCTCAGGTGACCATCTGGCTCGGGGGTGAGGGGGGATGTGGCATGAGATTGGGCGGGGCTGGGGGCGGGGTGGGGGCACAGCCTGAGGTTGGGCGGGCCTGGGGTGGGGGGCACAGCCTGAGGTTGTGCTGGTGGTGGAGGGATACATCTCTGCCTGACACAAGGCTCCTTCGTGGCCCGTCCCACAGGTGGCCACCCTGATTGACCGCGTTGTGGTGGGAAGGGGCCAGCTAGACAAAGACACCGTAGACACGCTGACTGCCTTCTGCCCCGGGTGCCTGTGCTCCCTCAGCCCCGAGCGGCTGAGCTCCATGCCCCCCAGCGACATCGGGTGAGTCCCCAGAGCTGTGCCCAGCAAGGTGGGTCTGTGTGCTGGCGCTCACTGTCCACCCACCCTGTCCCCAGGGCGGTCAGGCCCCAGGACCTGGACACGTGTGGCCCGAGGCAGCTGGACGTCCTCTATCCCAAGGCCCGCCTTGCTTTCCAGAACATGAGCGGGTCCGAATACTTCGTGAAGATCCGGCCCTTCCTGGGTGAGCCAGGGAGTTCCTGGACAGGGTGGGCACCACGACGGGGGAGCCACATACTCCACTCAGGGGGTGCCAGGCCTTTGCCTTACTGGGCCGCCTACTGCCAGGGTAACTGGGTGGTCACCGGCCCTCTGTCCCCGGGATGTGTGTGGCCTTAGAGCTTGTGGGCTCTGACCCCAGCTTGGGGCGCCAGCCACTTCCGGAGTCTCCCACGCCCGGGGGTCAGGCGGCCAGGCAAACCCAAGCCCTGGAACCCCTAAGGAAACAGGAAGCCCTGTAACCCTGTCACACAACTGGGCTTTCTGCGCCCGTGGTCAAGGGCCTGGGAGTGTGAGATGAGGCCTCAGCTTGGGCGCCTCTCCCTGAGGGCAGGTGGGGCCCCCACGGAGGATTTGAAGGCTCTCAGTCAGCAGAATGTGAGCATGGACTTGGCCACGTTCATGAAGCTGCGGAGGGAAGCGGTGCTGGTAGGGCGAGTGGGAGGAGGGGCGAGTGGAGGAGGGGACAACCGTGGGCGGGAGGGCGTGTAAGGCGGGCCCGCAGCGGGGTGGGGGCGCGGGGCCTTAGGAAGGGCAGGGTCCTGGACCGTGGTGGGGCCTAGGGAAGGGCAGCCATTGAACTGGGGTCAGCTGGCCGGAGACCTTCAAAGTCTGAAGAAGCTGCGGCGGGCATCTGTGGGTGGGGCAGTTTGGACACAGGAGAGTCTGGCAACCCTCTGGGGGCGCTGGGGGAAGGGGACCCTCCTTGATGGCTGCCCGGGGGATCTGGCAGCCGTTGACTGTGGCTGAGGTGCAGAAACTTCTGGGACCCCACGTGGAGGGCCTGAAGGTGGAGGAGCAGCACAGCCCCGTGCGGGACTGGATCCTAAAGCAGCGGCAGGACGACCTGGACACGCTGGGGCTGGGGCTACAGGGCGGCATCCCCAACGGCTACCTGATCCTAGACCTCAGTGTGCGAGGTGGGCGGAGCGGGGCGGCCAGGGCTGGGGGCAGGGCTGGGGACGTGGAGTTGGGCGCTCTGAGTCACCCCTCTTTCCGCAGAGGCCCTCTCGGGGACGCCCTGCCTCCTAGGACCTGGACCTGTACTCACCGTCCTGGCTTTGCTCCTGGCCTCCACCCTGGCCTGAGGACCCTACTCCTTCGCTGGCCCCAGCCCTGCTGGGGATCCCCGCCTGGCCAGGAGCAGGCATGGGTGGTCCCTGTTCCACCCCAGGAGAACCTGCGCTCAGTAAACGCGAACATGCCCCCTGCAGACACGCCTTGTGACTTCCAAGGACTTTGTGACCCCACCAGCATGGCTCCTCTCCCTCTGGTCTTGGGCCCTCAGGCCAGGTGGGGGCCCTTGGAGGCCTTCCTGACCCTGCTGCCACTGTGCTGAGGGCCAGGCCAGCACTCAGGGTGGCCCCAGTAGACAGCGGTGGGAGTCCCGTGCCCCCATCCCCACAGGCTGGGCCCCGGCTAGGACATTCCCAGGCCCCCCTGTTCAGACCCTGAGCACGAACACAGGCGGGACCACGACTTTGGACTTTATTCACGACCAGCAACGAAGTCAGTGGTTCCAAACCGCAGCCCCAGCCCCAGCCCCGGCCCTCTGCAGGGCCCGGGCAGTGTCTTCTGTGTCCCGCCGGGGCCTGTGGTTGTGCCGGAGGCACCTCCTCAGGGCCTGGTCCTCAGTCCAGCTCGCAGGGCCTGGAGGCGGGGATGGGCGGGGCAGCCTAGGAGGTGGGGCTTGGGCAGGTTGGCCTGGCCTAGAGCCGGCCCCTCAGTCCAAGTGGGTGTCCAGTTGAATCTAACAGCCCTGTTTTTCCTGCACCTGACCCCTGTGAACCCAGCCACCCCGAGGCAGCACTGTCCACAGAAGCCAGGGTGCAGGTCCCCCAGTGCAGCAGCCACAGGAGGCTAGAGGGCAGGGCCACCGCCAGGGGCAGGTACCCCAGGGGGGCCCACGGGCTGCCTGTAGATGGAACAGGGAGGACACCATCAGTCCCCCAGACGCTACCCCCATATCCACCCCCTGGAGCCAGACAGGCCTGGGCAGCCCCTCCCTCTGGCGGGGGAGGTGGGGACAGCTGGCGAGGATCCCTCTGGCTGGGGAGGTGGGGACAGCCGGCAAGGACCCCCGTCTGCGGCTGCTCTTCTGGGACCCAACAAAGGTCTCAAGGCTTCCCCTGCCCCCGCTTTCTGCTGGTCAGTGGGTTTTAGGGGAGGCAGCTGCGTCTCTCACTCAGTAGGCAATGAAGGGTGAAGCCAGGGTTGGCCAGTGTCATCCCAGGAGGCAATGGACAAAGCTGGTGGACAGACTGTGGGAGTGGCCACGAGGCGGGGAACAGGTCTGAGAGGGCCCTGGGCAGAGGGGGCCAAGCCAGAGGGGTGTGGGGGCCATACCTGAGGTGGAGGCCTGGGCAGCGTTCCCGGGCAGGCCTGAGGTGTGGACCAGATGAGGCGCTTGGTGGGTGGTGCTGGGGGGCCCGCTGGTGCTGTGGGCTGGGCCGGTGGGGCTCGAGGGGCCGGCGGGGCTGGCGGGGCCAGCGGGGCTGGCGTCAAGGCCCAGCTGGCCCAGGGCAGAGCTGTTGAGGCTGTACAGCCAGGACCTGACGGTGGGGTGGCTGCGGGCCTTCTGCAGGTCTCCCACGTTGTGGCCCAGCAGCGCAGTCACGTTGCTGACATCCAGGCTCTGTGGGGAGGGGCGGGGCAGAGGGGCCATGGGGCTACCTTCCAGGCCAGGGGAAGACCCACAGGAGAGGGCCAGAGCCAGGATTGGGCAGTGGCAGGAGTGAGAGGCCCAGAAACGGCCTGGAGTGGGAAAGTGGGGGTATGCTGGCTGTGACCTGTGACCTAGGGGCTCCCCCGCCTGGGGCAGCCCTGCACCCCCACCCTCACGGGGCAGCCCGGCCCCACCTGCAGCACGCGGGGGTTCAGGCTGGTGAAGGTGTCGATGTCCATGGAGATGTTGGCCTGGGCCAGATGCTGCAGCTCCTCCGCTGGTGCACCGCCTGGGGGGACGGGGGTGAGGGGGCGGGGCTCCACCGGGGTAGCCGCTGCGGGGACAGGGGTGAGGGCTCAGGGCTCACCGAGGTAGGGGCGCATGAAGTGGTAGTAGGCAGCTGGGGTCCTGCTGCTGCTGCTGAAGGCCTCACGGGCCTTGGCGTAGAGCACGTCCTTCCGGCTCTGGGGGCAGGAAGAGACGTCCAGGGCCCCGGCCAGCCTGGGGGAGGCGGGAGGCTGAGGAGTTGGCCACCAGTCCCCGACCCTTCCAACGGCTGGGCATGGCCCTCCCTTCCTGAGCCACAGCTTTCCTCTCACCCTCTGTGCTGGGGTGAACAGGGTTCCCCCAAATTCACATCCACTCAGAACCTCAGAATGTGACCTTGTTGGGAAATAGGGTCATTGCAGATGGGATCAGGTCAGACTGGATCAGGTGGGCCCTAACTCAATGCCTGGGGTCCTTCTAAGGACAGGGAAAGCTGAGGGCCAGGTACAGTGCTCTCGCCTGTAATCCCAGCACTTTGGGAGGCCTGGGTGGGTGGATCACGAGGTCAGGAGATCGAGACCAGCCTGGCCAACATGGTGAAGCCCCGTCTCTACTGAAAAAAAAAAAAAAAAAAAAAAAAAAAATTAGCCGGGCGAGGTGGCGGGCACCTGTAGTCGCAGCTACTCAGGAGGCTGAGGCAGGAGAATGGCGTGAACCCGGGACGCGGGGCTTGCAGTGAGCTGAGATCGCGCCACTGCACTCCAGCCTGGGCGACAGAGCGAGACTCCGTCGCAAAATAAATAAATAAATAAATAAAATAAATAAAGTCACCCAGTTTGCGTCCTTTGCTCAAAGCTAGAGTCCAGGCCGGGCGCGGTGGCTCAAGCCTGTAATCCCAGCACTTTGGGAGGCCGAGACGGGCGGATCATGAGGTCAGGAGATCGAGACCATCCTGACTA